TTGCTTCCTAAACCTGCTAACCCATTTTTAAAATGATGGTACTGCTATTTCAAAACTGATCAGGAGCTTTAGAACAAAGCATTCCTCTGGTGACACTTCCGTGCTGTAAACACACAGGCAGCAAGGGGTTCCATCCAAAGCAAGAAAAACAAAGTTCCCTTTCTCCATATGAGCATGAATCATTGCCTAAGCCTTCCAGCTCAACTGATGAACAAGAGAGGCAAGAGATTTACAAATACGAGAAAATCCCACAGCTATGGACCTGAGAGCAACCCTCACTTCTAATGGGACCAAGCAGCTAAAGGACTTGCATTTTTAAATCAACATTTGAATTCAAAATCCATATGATCCATTCACTCTAAGTTTGCATAACATGCAGAGCAATGATGGTCTGGGTTCAACAAGTACAAACAACAACTAATAGAAATCTGAGAATTTAAAGGGGGGGGGGGGGCGATATTCAGAACTGATTTTGCATAGTATTGCCACACAGTTCTGTAGTGCTGTCATTGGAAACATCAAATATAATGCAATTCCAGTGTTTGAGCACTAGAGGGTCAATTCATTATGAAAACGGAGCCTTACCTCAGTTTCCTTATTTTTATAAGTAAGCATTTAACCTCTTACTTACCACCTCTTGAGCTGTTATGAGTTTTGCTAGCTGAAGCTCCTTCTGAGGCCATGCAGCACTCAGATGGAGGAATTATGTCACACAAACACAAACTTTTTGCAAGGGTACCCTCGATTTTAAGCTATGCATGTCACACCAAACCCATGACTGCTTTCTCTGGTCAGCTGCAGGGTGCACACCTTTTTGAAAAGATCACTGTGTTGCTCTGGAAGTTGTCTCTTGTGGCTGGGAGTGGTAAAAGACTGATGAGGCACTAGCCCATAGCCCATTCTGAAAAATACTCATCCTGTACACACACAGCAGCCTCTTCTCATGCCTAATTATCATTCCTTTGAATAATAATAAAAATGCAAATACTGTCCATTTAAATGAAAGGGATCCTCAGCACCACCTGCGATTGTACTCCTGCCCAACAAAGAAGCACCCGGATGGCAGCAGACCAGTGGGCATCATCCAGAGGGCAGAATTCAGGCCCACTAGATTGCAGCCTTGCCACTCAATTAACAAACCCTAACACTTCTAAAAGTATATGCATATACCAGAAATTTGGGGCATTACTGTATGAACAAACCAGAAATCCTTCTCCTTCCCAATAGGATTTGTTATGGAAACAGCATATAATTTCATTCCAATACCACAAATTTGCCACTACATTAAAGAGCGTTACTGTTACTGAAGGATGAACAGTAAATCAGCATCCCCAGCTCTCCAGGCTACAGCCCTCTTCAGGGGAATGGTGATTCTGAGTGCCCCTTCATTTCAGGCTATAAATATATCCCATGAGAGAAAGCAAAGCTGTAGACTAAGGAATGCCTTAACAAGTACATCTAGCCCAACAAACTTTGTTATACCACAGTTTTGTTCTTATATTATCCTTCTTGTCAGGGACAAGAGAACTGGGCAACACTGCTTCTTTGCATACAGTGATACTTTCCCTGGTAAACATGGTACATCAATTATACAGACTGTGTCGGAAAAAAACCTGTCTAAATTCCCTGGAGGAATGGATAGATCTGTTTTTAACAGTAAGGTAAAACATCAGTGATGACTGCAATATACCCATGCAAAAGACAGCTTTGTATCATATTAATGAGGAGTCTCAAATACCATTATGTGAGAAATAAAAGTACAAAAAGGCAAGTCATACAGATAGCACCACAGCATTCAGTAATGACTGTGACCTTTGCAAATTACTGCCCTGTGAAAGTTCACAAAAATTAGCAAACAAAAAAGCAGGGGGTTGCTCTTTTAAATTATTTTTAAATTATCATATTGTGCTCTCTAGTATATTTATTAAAATAACCAAGACTGAACATGGAGCTTCAGCTCTGCAACCTATGAAAAAAATCCCAAAGAACTGAAGGGGATCCATATCTGCTGCAAATCACGAACTGCAAATATTAACATTTTACTTCATGTAGAAACAGCAATTCCATTATTCATCTTTGAAAAGTTTTTTTTTTAAAAATTGGTCCTCCCATCCCTACCGTAAATACAATGTCACTATTACAAATAAATGTGTTCTCCCATGCATAAATAAATCACACACATTCAGCTGCAAGAAAACAGATCAGTCAAAATGGCTCAAATGTAATTATACACTGACCAAAAAGAATTCCACTGCAACTGAAATTGAATGGGTTGTACTTCAGGTCATTAGCTGAGTGCTGACCAGTACAATTTTAAATGCTAAAATAGCCCCCCAAGGGGGAGGGGGGGGGGGGGGGAGACTTTAGAAAAATGCGTAAAAAAACTGAGAAAGCGGGAACTATGCTCATGTAAAACAAATTCAAAAACAAAAAAACCCCTGCCATGTTGTCTCACCTCATTATTTTGTAAAGCTTCCCTTACTTCTCTATGGCTGTTTACGCATCACTATCTGAAAGAAGTAAACCAGCCAAAAATCATCTACATCTTCCTCCAGATCTACAGAATGAAATGCTGCACTAGCTTATAACACTGGAAATCAGAAATGGAGTCTCATAATTAGCCAGTCTTTCCTAACAAATCCAGGCTTACAGAATGGCACTTCGAACAATGAATTAGAAAAAAAGGATGTGTTGTGTTGAAAGGTTTAAGAATGCGTGTACTTTCCACAAAGCTGAAATGCTTCCATGAACATACCGTTTAACTCTGGATTAACCAAACATTCCAAATTCAGGAAAACATAACTATTTCACTCATTAAAATATTCGGACAATATTGCAACATAGTGTGAGTGTCATTTTGAGCAGTGAGAAAATATTTTTTTTTTAATAGGAAAGGGAGAAGAAAGGCTAAGTTGAGAGAACCTTTTTTTTTAAAAAAAAAAAAAAAAAAAAAAGAACTGGTGAGCTTCTTTCTTCTCCTGCCATATAGCAGATCTCTTCTTGGATTTCACACCACCGACCATACCCTGTCAGAGATCTTGAACAGTTTACATTACTTCTTTTGAAGGATTAATCTAGACCGGCCCAGAGATAAAAACCAAAATGCACAATGAATTCCTACACTGAATTCCAGCTTTTTACTGTGAACTCAACATAAGAAAAGAAAAAAGGAATCCCACACATCTTGCAGTATATACACTGCTTTCACACAGTATTTAAGTTAGTCAGAGGAATACGTAAAGGGACAAGATAGTTTTGTACAAAACCTCAATTTATTTCAGAGAAATTAAAAATATGGTATTTAATATATATAAATTTCTATTCCTCTATAAATATAGATGATCTTGTGATAATGAACAGAAATAAATGCATACCAAATTCAAATAATTTTGCATTTCAGGGTATGGTAGCCATAGATAATGTTTATGAACCTAAATACAGGCATTTGTAATATAAAAAAAGTTTAAAACGATACAGTCAGGAGAAGCATTCTGCTTTTTTTTCATACAGAGGACTAAATATTCAAATGCATCTGTCAAAAGTTACAATTTCATTTTTAGCCTTTTTTTTCTTTTTGTGTTAAGAAGCACAATCCCACGCACCCAGGAGCATACAAGGTAGTAGATATATTGCACACATGGTAGCTTGTCTTTGCAGTATGCAATGTTATTACCGTACGGAAAAAAGGAGGGGGAAAAAAGACAGCAGAGGCCCTTTAAGGTCTCGCATCCCAGCAGAGCGCTTAACCATTCTGGTTTTCTGTTTTCCCTTCCTTTGTTTTTACTACTGGCAAAAATCATCACACCCTCATAATGCGTAATGAATTAAATGTCAATGAATTAAAATTCAGGGCAATGGCTCCAATGTTTCCCAAACGAAGAGCCAGCGTATGGATATAATTAAGTAGTAAAAAAAAAAAAAAAAAGAAAAAAAAATTCTGAACGCTGCGTTTTATTCCGCTGAAGCTCTCGCTCCCGAGCCCGTATTTCCTGATCCTGCTAACCCCGGCCGACAGCAGCCCGGCAGGGAGGGGACCGGGGCGGGCGCCGGTGGCGGCACCCGCGGGGGGACCCCGGGGAGCGCCGGCCCCGCTCCGCCGCCGCCGCCCCCCGCTCCGCCGGCCCCCCTCGGCGCTTGCGACCGAAAAGCCGGCTCCAAGCCAGGCAGACCGAGAGGGCAGCTCGGTGTACCTCTGTCCCCACCCACCTCCTCAGCCATCGGACGTGCTACAGGTGCAGACGGCGTCAACCCCCCCCTCCTACAACAAAACCGGCCAACTCCTCTTCAACTGTGTGGTGCATTTAAATAAATCTTACAAAATGGTCAGAGGGCAGCCGGCAGCCAGCCCCCCTAACCCCGGGCGCTGTGGAAAGGCTCTCCCTCCACAGAAAAACCCGGCACACCGCCGGGCAGGGCTGAGTGTTCTTTCTACACCCCCCCCACCCCCCCCAAAAAGGGCC